CTGTCTTGGTCTCTTCCACATAAACTCTGCTTTACAAAATCTCACTCTTTCCCAGTTCTCTTCCCGCACAATCTAATTCAAGCATTGTTTCTACTGACACTCACTTTGCTGCCTTGCAAAAAGCTGTGCCTCTTACAGCAAAAACTCTGATATGCCCACAAACACAAACACAGACACAGACACACACGCCCTGCATCTCAAATTCACGAGAGTCAGGGCTTAGGTTGCTGTGGGAGGGGAATTCCTCGAATTCCTTTAATTTGTTTTATCACAGTTAAACATAAATCACCATACTGCAGTTTTTCCATGTAAAATGCTACACTTGTTGTAAACAAAATCCTAAAATGTCCACAAACACAAGCCTACAATACTAAGAATCAAATTACCACAATGTGGGGAAAGAACCACACAAACTCACTGGGAAAGGGGTATCTCTTAAAAATGCCCACTTTCCTTGACACAACCCAACATACAACACTTCAGCATCTACCCACATCAGCTTATCCAGCTTCTTCTGGTCCTCACACACTCTGGACACAATCAAAATAACAGCACACAGTAAAATTCCAGGGACCAAGTCCAAACTGCGGGGGCAGAAGAATCCCCTGAGTTCATCTAGCCACGGGTAAAATGCGCACAATCTACACAAATCACACATCACCACTTTTAAACACAATCAATGACTAAATGTCCTCACCCACATTTCTCCACTTGTTCCACTACTTCACGGGGTGTTCCTGCCCTCACAGCCTGCCCCAGCCGGTGCTCCCGGCCTCACCTGGCTGCTTCAGACATGGGTAGAACTGTCCCCGCACGCCGTGGGTACACTCACTCACTCCCTCGATCGCTTTTATACACCACACACTCACACGATTACAAACACGCTAACATTAACCACACAATGCATTAGCCATACAATGTCTGGACACCACAAGCACACAAAGTTCGGGTTCACTCGGCTCACCCCAGAGTCGCTAGCGGCCGCTCTATTGAACAATGAACCCGTTCCCAGTCGCGCTATCAACCGGGAACCTCTGCTGCTGACTGTGCTCCTGGTTGATGGCTGCCTGCAAGCACAGGGCCGAGGCTGTGCACTCAGACGTCTCTGAGTGACTTATCAGCAGCCCTATCTCCCCCGGGCCCCTTGACAGACATACCGTGTATCTGCACAGTGCAGGTCATTGTCTGTGTCTGCAGGAGGCAAGCCGAGATGGAGCAGAGCTCCTCCAGGAAAATCCCAGGGAGCGCCCAGGAGTCCGTCCTCCCTTCCACCCCTGCAGGGACAGACAATCGCTTGGCTGGCTCGCCAAAATGATTAGTGGAAAAAAAAGGGGAAACTGCACAACTTTGTAAAAAGTCGTAAAGCCGGTATGTTTAGCGCTGGACACATGTGGGAATTGTTCTCCCTAAAGGACACGAGCACCCCTAGGAATTCCCCCTTGCTTATACATATGCATATAGTCTCATTCATATTCATTTTACTGATTTCACATTACAAGCTGCAATTAGTTTTTATCAGTCCTTGCCCTTTGCGCAGGGAGCTCTCTGGTCAGCCTCAGCCTCAGCCTTTGGCCCTGACAAAGGGGCCTCCGCTTATCTTGGGAGTTTGAATTCCTTCTCTTTGTCGAGGCCATTCTGTGAGCACAAGATTTTTTCTTTGTTTTATTTCCTCTCTTGTGAGAACAGGGAGTCTTAAGCACAGATAAACAAGTTACAGGCTCAGAACAGCACTTTTCACCTCAATCCAAAAATGCATTTCTATCCTGTTAAAATTCTACTTTGTCTCACCCATCCAAGGAATTATGTGCTCTGACTCCATGATTTTAAAGGCTGAACAGATGCTTTATTCTATGCTATATTATACTACATTACAATATTGCTATACTAAATCTATACTAAATTACATACTAAAGAAAAACCTCTGACCCTTTGCAGACAGTCACGACCCAGCTTTGACCTAATTGGTCAATCAGTCCAAACAACCATCACCACAGTCCAATTAACAAATCACTCTCGGTAAACAATCTCCATAACACATTCCACATGTGCCAAACAACAGGAGCAGCAAGATAAGAATTGTTTTCTTCCTTTCTGAGCTTTCTCAGCCTTTCCACAGCTTCCCAGGAAAAATCCTGTGAGAGAGAATTATGTCTCTATTCAAAGAAATGTGAATACCACAGGGATTTGTTCTCCCTGGTCTCCATCTGCTGCTCAGTGCCTGGGGTAAGGAAAGAAAAGGAGAGGAAGGATTGAGGAAGAAGGACAGAAAGAGAAGAGGAAGGAGCTGTGGACAAGGAGAGGATGGGATTTGCCTCTGTGCTAGAGGGAAGGGGAAGGGATCCTACCAATTCATCCCTGGCAGGATGGTGTCAGCAGTGGGGCTGTCCTGCAGCCAGGGGCAATGCTGGGCTGAGACACAGAGCAGAGGAGAGGGGGAAAGGGGCAGTGACTTCTTCCTCACCTGCCTCAGTGTCCCAGGCCATCTTCCTTTTCCTTGCAGCCTCCTCCAGCTCCATCCAGACAAAATTTGGGATTGACAAATCCTGGCTTGGGGGAAAAACAATGGGTGAGCCCTTGGTCCTGCTGCCCAAGTACAGCTCCAGAAGTAACAGCCCTGCTCACAGTCGGATGGGCCCAGACCCTGCTCATCTCCAGCCTCCCCCACCCCTCCAGGCTGCCAGAATTGGCCTTTGCTGCTCTCCCCATTCTGATGCCAATGTCCCCACACAGCTGGTACCACCTCCCCAGCCAGTTTGCCACAGGAACCCTCCACAAGTCCCCAAAGGGGCATCTGCGTCTCACCCTTGGGGACCTGCAAGATCCAAACATCCCCTCCCCAGAAACAAACCCTTCCAGAGATCCCCCGATGGATTTGGGGTCAGTTCCCCCTCTCTGCTCACCTGTGGGATCTGGGGGATGGATGCTGCCAGGGCCAGGGGAGCTGCAGACTCAGCGGGCAGGTGGGAAAAGCGTGGTTCTGCTGGGGCTCCTCCTCTTGCTCCTCCTGTTCCTGCTCCTCCTTTCCTCCATCCTCCATCCTCCTCCTCTCCCTCCTCTTCCTATTGCTCTTCCTTCCCTGCCCATTCCAGATCCCACCTCTCCCCCATGGCTGCAGCATCACCAGCATTTGGGTGGAGGGAACCCCCCATGAGCCCCCCAGGGATGGGCAGGGGGCTTGGGGACCCACCCAGTGCGGATCCATTCCCCCCAGAGCCCCAGGGAATCACTCCAGGAATCGAATGATGGGGACACAATGGGATCCCCATGGAACTGCTCTTTTTCTGTTCCATCCGCACCTTTCCCTCCCCATACCCATCATTCCTCCAACCCAAAGACCCCTCCCAACTCAATTTGGGGGTGCCATCCCTCTCGCACTCTGAATCCTCTTTTCCCCTGCTCTTCCACCCCTTCCCCATTGTGCCCCCAGCCCCAGCCCTCACCCCTGGGCTTGGTTTTGAGGGATGCAGGCCCCTCCTGCTCAGTTTGCAGGGTCACATCTCCCCTTTCTCTCAATTCTAGCAGCTCCTGGCTGCTTTTTCCTGGGAGGAATCCCTCAGTTTTGGGACTTTTGGGGTGTAGCTTATAAGTGTGACAGCTCTGTCCGGCTCTCTGCTCCCTGCTGTGGCCCCTCAGCTGCCCCTGACACCCTGGGGGTGCTGGGATTTCCCTCCTGGGGACAAGGACGTTCATCCCCTTCCAGGAGCCCAATGCCTGGCTGGGGCTCCAGGTCAGGGGGTCCTTGAGCAGCTGCCCCAGAACCTCCCCCAGGGTCTCCCAGCACAGCTGGAGCTGCTCAGCCTGGGGTCCCCAAAGGCCTCAGCAAGCCCCAAGTCCCTCCCAGGAACCCTCAGCCCCCTCAAACCCAGCATCCCCCACATCCCCTGCAAGTTCCCCCCATGGCACCAGCCATGGCCATGTCCCCACATGTCACTGCCCATGTCCCACCATGTCCTCACCCATGGCTGTCTCCCCACCATGTTTCCATCCCTGTCATTGTCCCCCACATCTCCATCCATGCCCGTGTCCCCCCATGTCCCCACAAATGGCCCCATCCCTGTTAATATCCATGTGTCCCCAAGTCACTCTCCATTTGACCATGTGTCCTACCCTGACCACACCCAAGTCTTAGTTCAATGTCTATTTTTACCTCAATATTGGATATTTTAAAGGGATAAAGAGAAATTAAAACAAAATTGAGGCAAAAAAAAAGGGATTTCCTTGTCCATACCAGCTGAGGATCCACAGCTTAGGTGGAAGGGAAGAACCTTTTTGGGTGGAATTTCTATCCCGCTGTCTCTAAAATCTTGGCCTTTTCCCCAGTTTTTCACCATTTGGCTGCAGAAGACACCCTTGGGCAACAGGAAATCAAAATTGTGGAATCTCTGAAGTTGGAAAAGACCTTGTCCTGGTTCAGGGCAAATTTGGGAGAGAACTCCCAAAGGAGTTCCTCTGGACAGCAGATTCAATCGGCCCCTCCCCCAACTGGTTCAGGAAAAATGAAATACCTCCTTGGAGAAAAGTGGAAAAAACTGTTTATTAAACAATAAAACCTAAATAATATGAAACAATAAAACCTTTTGTTGCTCTAAAAGAGAGAAAAACTCACAAAGTCCCTCTGTGGGCTGTAGCTCAGCTCACTCAGTCTCTTATCAATCCCTCTGGTGCTGGAAATGTCGCAGGCCAGGCCCAGCCCGGTGGGCCACAGGTGTGAGCTGCCCGTGCTCTTCTGGTGTTCAGGCCAGAGCAGGTTTAAACAGGTCCAAAGAAAAGGGAAAAAACCCCACAGTTCAGGGAACTTTGGTTCAGTTAGCTAAACCTAACTAAAAGGAAAGGAGAGCTCTGTCCCGCTGTCTGCCCATCCGCAGACAACACAGTGCAGGAGCAGGAATGTGGAGTGAGTGCAGTGTCTGAAAACAAACTCTGTGCTTCTTCTCTCCCCCTTCACTCTCAGGGCAAGTCTTGAAGGTGCAAAACTTATTATTCAGCACAAACAGAACAGACTGGGGACACAAGCATCTTATAGTCGACACAGAATATACCTCAGGGACCATTCAGTACTCCCTGATGTCACCAGAAGACAGGACTGAATGCAAAAGATTTTATGGGGTTGAAATTTGACAAATCTCTTCTCCCCAAGGAATTCCCATTGTAGGTCTGCGTCCCGATGGATGTTCCTGCTACTGGGTTTATCTAGGTGCCCACAGGGAACCAGGAAGATGTGGAGTCCCCCAGCCAGATGCCTTCCAACTTGGATCACCAGGACCACAGATCACCAGGGCTCTGCCCAACAGGGGTCACTGGGGATCATCCAACGTGGATCCTCCCATGGGGGATGGAGCTGGAGCAGCACACAAAGCTCTTCCCACACTTGGGGCACTCACAGGGCTTCCCTTAGTGGCGCCTCCGTTGGTGTTTGGTCAAGATTGAGCTCGATGAGAAGCTCATCCCACACTCCCCACACTCGTAGGGCCTCTCCCCCGTGTGGATGCGCCGGTGCAGGGTGAGGTGGGAGTTTTGCTTGAAGCCCTTCCCACAGTCGGGGCAGCGGAAGGGCCTCTCATCGGTGTGACTCTGCTCATGTACGAGGAGATCGCAGCTCCTGTGAAACCTCTTCCCACACTGGGGACACTTGTAGGGCTTCTCCCCAGAGTGAACACGCTGCTGGTGTTTTCTCAGGTCAGTGTGCCACCCAAAGCTCTTCCCACATTCCAAGCAGGTGTAGGGCCGTTCCCCCGTGTGGATCACCCGGTGCCGAATCAGGGCCGAGCTTTCTCTGAAGCTCCTCCCACATTCCCCACACTTGTAGGGCTTTTCCCCAGTGTGGATCTTCTGGTGTTCCGTCAGCTGGCACTTGATGCTGAAGCTCTTCCCACACTCCCCACACTCATAGGGCTTTTCCCCAGTGTGGATCCTCTCGTGTTTCCTCAGGCCAGAGCTGTATCTAAAGCTCTTCCCACATTCCACACACTCATAGGGCTTTGCCCCAGTGTGGATCCTCTGGTGTTGAATCAGGCTCCCCTTCTGGCTGAAGCTCATCCCACATTCCCCACACTCATAAGGGCGGTCTCCAGTGTGGATCATCTGGTGTTGCATCAGGTGGCCCCTCTGGCTGAAGCTCTTCCCACATTCCCCGCACTCAAAGGGCTTTTCCCCAGTGTGGATCCTCTGGTGTCGGATCAGGACAGAGTTGTGGCTGAGGCTCTTCCCACACTCCTCACACTCAAAGCGCCTCTCCCCAGTGTGGATCCTCTGGTGCTGCCTCAGGCTGGAGCTCCAGCTGAAACTCTTCCCACATTCCTCACATTCATAGGGCCGGTCCCCAGTGTGGATCACCTGGTGCTCGATCAGGTCTAAGCTCCGACTAAAACCCTTCCCACATTCCAAGCACTTGTGGGGCTTCTCTCTGCCATGGGGCTTCTCTACCAGCTCTGAGCTCTGGCTGGATCTCCGGCCGCCTTCCTTGCTCAGGGGGGCTCTTTCCTCCCCACAGCTCCCTGGGCTGGGTTTGCTGCCCCTCCTCGTGCGGAATCTCCAGGGCTTTTCCTCCTCCTCCATCCACACACGTCCTAGGAATGAAAAATCCTGGTATGGGGAAAAAACAAAATGAGAGTGTCTTGGACTGGGAGCTCCTCCTTGCCCAAGTTCATCTCATTAAGTCATTGGGCATCTTGTGTCTCTAAGAACCTCCAAAACACCAAGAGTCAGCACAAAATCCTCCAAACATCAACACACTGATCAAAAACTTCCGAAACATCAAGATTCAACAAAGCCCCCTCCAAAACATAAAGATTCAGCCCCCACAAAAAAACAAAGCACCAACAATTAGGCCAATAAAGCTCAGAAACACCAAGATTCACCCCCGGGAAAATCGTGGATCCCAATCCCTGGTCACCTGCTGCATGTGGAGGGGGGGCAACGCTCCTGGGGCTCGGGTTGGAGGCTGCAGATAGAGGGAGAGTGGAACTTTGTGCTACTTCCTCTTCTGTTCCTCCTCCTGTGTCCCTACTCTTGCTCACACTCCTCTTCCTCCTGCTATTCCTCCTTCTCCTGCACAATCTCACCTTCTCCTCCCACATGCATCATTTGACCCTTTTGTTCCTCAACCCTGCTTCTCCCTCCCTTCCCCTCCTGCCCCAGGCCCAGCACCCACTGCCGGCTCTCTCTTCCCCCCAAACCCACAGCATCCCACGGCAGGGGCAGGGATGGAGCTGGGGCAGGTCGGGCTGGGGCAGCGCTGGGCTCTCGGCCGCTCCCGCCCGCACTCGGTCCCCACTGCAGCCGCTCCCGCCAGGACAGCGCGGGGGGGCCCGGCCTTGGCGCCGCCCCACTCCCACCTCCCCAAATTCCCCTCGCATTTGGACAATAGGGCATGGATGGTGTTGGTGTGCTGCAAAGGGATTGCGTGAAGGGGAGGGTGCAGCAATATGGTTAAGGCAAGAAGCTGCAGGAGGAATCTATGTGGGAAGGAAAAGGATGATGGAAAAGAGGAGGAAGAGAAAAATACTGAGGATTGGGATGTTTATCAGCAGAGTCTTAGCCTCAAAACTTGTCAGCTAATTCAGATCATTTGTATCCCCGGTGTCCAGGACAGGAAAGAAAGGAGGTCAGGGTTTCAGGGGGTTTCTCTGTGGGGGGCAGCGGCAGCACCGGGCGCAGAGCTGTGGCACCGGGAGCACGGGCTGGGGGCCTGTGGGGAGAACGGGGCCGGGCCGGGGCTGTGGGGCAGCCGGGGCTCAGCGCCGGGCGCTGCCTGACCCCACCAGCCCCGGGCAGGGCCGGCAGCGGCCCCCGGCCCCCAGGAGGCTGCGGGACGCCCCGGCCGCTGCCCGGCCCCGCGGAGCTGCCGGCCCTGCCCGCCGGGGGCGCCTTTGGACACTGCGGCAGGACAGGGAGCGGCTCTGGGCTACGGGCTGGGGAGGGCACCCTGAGCACAGGGAGGAGGAGCAAGGAACACCTGGGAAATGTGGAATGTACATTTTAGCAAGGAAATAATCTTTTAAGGCTTTTGTTAGGGTTACTGGAGATACAAATGATTTTGCAGAAAGCTCAGCAGCTGTCAGAGGATGAGCACCCACAGGCACTGAGGGGGGCTGCAGGAGGGGCACAAGAAGGCCCTGCAGCACTTGGGCACAAAGGCACAGCAGGTGAGTGCAAGAAGGGAGCAGCAAAAGGCCAAGCTGAAGGCAAAGGCCAGGGCACAGCTCCTACAGCCCCTGAGGGATCAACCCCAGGGCCCAAGGGGGCCCCAGCACCCAGGGCACGGCTCGGCCACAAGCACCTGGCAGAGGCATTGCCCTCCTCGGCAGGGGAGAGCCCACCCAAACAGCCCCTGGCAAGGAACCAGGGCTCCAGCTGCAGGGCACAAGGACACTGCAAGCACAGACAGCAGCACCCTCAGGACCAGCAAGTCCACCCCTTGATGGACATGGACTGGCAGGGCTGTCACAGCTCCCATCACACCAGGGACCCTCCACACTGCAGCCCTTGAGAACATTCAGGGTGGGTCCGCAATGAGAGGAGGCATTTTTTGATGGACACAGGGGCCTCTCAATCCACTCTGAATCTTAGATCTAAGGTGGGAAAATGCTAAAAATGTCTTTGATTATTCATGGGATTAGTGGGAAAGATGTGTGGTTTTATTCAACCACTATTAGCAGATGTGGGTGATGGGATTGAAATGCATGAATTTTTATTCATTATTGTTATTATGGTTTACTGGGAAGGGATTTGATTGCTAAACTCAGAACGCAAATTAATTCTATAAAAGGTGATACAGAAGCCAGTACTGTTGTACCTTTGTGTCAAATGTCTGGCGAGGCCTATGCTGAGGTGAACCCAGAAGTTCTGGCAGCCCCAGGGAAAGAGGGAAAATTAGATATGGAGCCTCTCCAAAGCACTCTGAACCAACCAGGACAAGTGGTGTCTAAAAGCAACACCCTGTTCCAGGGGAGGGAAGGAAGGGCAATCAGACACAGTGCAGGTCACCGCCCCATGCTCAGCTCAACCCGCGCAGCTGTGGGTGCTTGTGAGAGCCTGGCACTGAAATGCCCTGAGCAGGAAGGCTTCAACATCTTCTGCTGACACCATGGCACCTAACAGGGGGGCAAAAGCAATTCTCACTGCTTCAGCAACCACTGGAGCAGATATCAAGGCACATTCTCCCACAGGAAGCTGGGCTGGCACACAGCCTGCCCTGGCACTTTGCTGCTGCCAACACCCAGCCAGGACATCGGCTCCTGCCTAAGGAGTGCCAAGCAGCACCACTGGTGGCCAAGGGGCCCATGCCAAGTGTCCCTGAGGCCAGAAACAGCCGCCAGCACAGCTCTACACGGGGGGACCCCTCAGCCTGGCCTCAAGGGCTCTGAAGCCCCGCAGATTTGCACTTCCCGCCCGCAGCAGGAGGATGGGAGGCCGCCCCTGAGCCTGCCCTGAAGGCAACGCAGCAGCAGCCAGGGCTCCACAGCGGGCCAGGCCCCTGCGCCTGCCCACAGATCCTCGCCTGGAATCCTCTGCAATCCTGGCCACCCTCCTCTGCCATCTCCAGCCCCTGGGGCCAAGCCTTGCTGCCACTGCTGCAGCTTCAGCGCTGGCTGGGCCTGCACTGCCACAGCTGCTGGGGAACACCACGGCACAATTCCACTCCGGGGCTCACTGACACCCACACTCTGGGCTGCCTGCCATTGCACTGCTGCAAAATGTACCGAGTTTGGTTCTTTTAAACCTTATTTCTCTGCTCAGGCTTGGTTTGTCTTTGCCTTTGGGAAAGGAATTTTAAAGGTTTTATTTAAGGGCTGCTACACCACTCAATGGAGATGAGTTCAACATCCCAACACACTGGGAATAGCCCAAAAGACACCCACAGAGATAACGACCAGCAACAAAACATCAACATTGCCCAGCAGCAAACAGCAACCAACAGCTACCCCAGACACTGCCCCCGGCAGAGCTGGAGACACCTGGGCTGGAAAAGGCTGAGAAGGAAATCCAGGAGTGTGGAGACCGAATTCACACATCAGAGGGGAAGAAATCCGGGTCCAACAGGAAACCAAATACTAAAAACTTACACAACTTAGAAGCAATGAACATTAAAGCAGTGGATTTCTATGGGTTTTGGATGGTATGAAGTTTAGGAAAAATCTAGTAAAACTCACGTATCATTGCACAATTTTCTCTGCACAGCTGGGCTATTTGTGAAAGAAATTATTTCTGTTGCACATCCTGGGCAGAATCAAGTAATGCCTTGACTCTCTAACACTGAAAATGTTGCAGAGTTTTGGCTCTTCCCACTGTTTTGGTGACGAGATTACAACATTATAGTGTTTTTTTCTTAATAATCCTTCTTTTAGTCCGTAAGGTTTGGGTCAGGGGGGTCAGAACAAATTTTTCTTCTTAGGAGAAGTAGAGGGTTTTTGGGTATGTGTGTGTTTTTCTCTTAGTGATGGCACAATTTTGGTCGGGTTTCTCGATGTTCACACTTAGGATGCATTTTGAAAAACTAGAAAAGATTTAAATGTGACGCTGTAACTCATCAACAGTTAACAGAATACTGCTTAAAAAAGGAAAAAAAAAAAAGGCATCAAAAAAAAGCAAGGGAAGGGGGGTGGGAAAGGAACGGGGGAGTCACCAGATTACTGCCCTGGAAGAGAAGCTTTGGTTCTAGTCAGCCTGCAGAGGAGCTTTAGAAATGCAAATGAACACTGCTGGGCAAAGTGTGGACAATGCACCTGGGTCTATTGCCTGGGGCAGGAATTGGGCTGATTCCCTCTGCCCCTCACCCCAAGCTCTGCCTGCTGGCACTGATGGAATTTGCACAGCTCAAGGCAGAGCCCAGGGGGAGGATATCTGACCCTGCAACACAAACGGGTGAAGCTGCAAAGGGAAACAGCAAATGGAGAACGTTGGGAAAACTTCACTATAAACAAATGGGGGGAATCATTTCTCTGCCCACTCCAACATGTGCTGTCACTGTCTGTGTTATGTAGGGTATATTGGAGCACTGGGCATTTTTTCCTACCAAAAATTCAGGGAAATCAGTTGGGAATCCAAGTATTTGATGATTTAATTAGAGAAAAGCAGTCAATTGATGCAGCCCTGGCTGGAGAGAGCGGCCAAAATTGGGGAAAAGATGAACGGCCAGCAGAACAAATCCTACAACACCATGGACCAGCCCCTGGGAACCTGAACCAATTCATATCAGGAGCCACAGAACCCATTTCTCATTTCAATGGCATCATTAGATTACAAGCTGTCCCCGCAATAATAACCAACCAGACAGCTCCAGCTCCTGACCTTCCTGCTGGGCAATCCACTGAAATGAGGAACACAACACTTCACCATGGGATGGGATCAGATCATCTGTTAGCAGAAAAAGGAGGAGTTTGTGGAAAATTAAATGACACAAACTGCTGTTGGCAAAAAGATGAAAAAGGAAAAGTGGTGAAACAGATAACAAAGGAAATAAGAAAGCAGCGCATGTACGGATTCAAATGCGGAAAGAATGGGAATGGGACACGGTTTTGAGGCTCCCTGGCAGACCATGGGTTAAACGAATGCTGTTTCTCCTCG